TAGTTCCAGCTACTTGGAAGGCTGAGGCAGAAGGATCACCAGAGCCCAGCAGGTCGAGGTTGCGGTGGCTGGGAGCATGCCACTGCGCTCCAGTCTGGGCGACAGAGTGAGACTCCAACCCCCCCCCCAAAAAAAGAAAAGGGTTTCTGCAACATAGATAACATGTAAAATTGCTACATCATGTAATAGAGTTACAGATTTTAGAAACAATAATTTTATTCTATTTAGTACTTTCTTTTCTTCTTTTTCTGTCCCTTCCTTCCTTCCTTCCTTCCTTCCTTCCTTCCTTCCTTCCTTCCTTCCTTTCTTTCTTTCTTTCTTTCTTTCTTTTTTTTGACTGAGATTTCTCTCTGTTGCCCAGGCTGCAGTGCAAGGAGACACCATCACAGCTCACCACAGCCTCAACTTCCTAGGCTCAAGTGATCCTTCTGCCTCAGTCTCCTGAATAGCTGGGACTACAGGCACATGCCACCATGCCCAGCTAATTTTTCATTTTTTATTTTGTAGAGATGAGATCTCGCTATGTTGCCTAGGTTGGCCTTGAACTCCTGGGCTCAAGCAATCCTCCCACCTCTGCCTCCCAAAGTGCTAGGATCACAAATGTGAGTCACTGCACTTGGCCTATATAGTATATTTTGAAAACCACTAACAACCAGACTTTTGGATTATGCTAAATAGTCTTCAGTAGTTGAAACTCTATAACTTTAGTACACTATTTTCTTCTCAAGCACTTCAAATTCCCAATAAACAAGCAAATCTCTCCCAAGTCCTTAAGCAGTTCCTGAAAGAACATAAAATGGAGTCAGTATACCCAATGAGCAGCCATTTTAACATTGTTTAGCTTTGTCATGTTGTTCTAGCAGTTCACTTTAATTTACCCTCTAATCACTAGCCAAGGACAGAATCTGTTTCTCAGAGGTAGCTACTGATAATTCACTTTTTTTTTTTTTCCAGTCACTCTGTCACCTAGGCTGGAATGCAGTGGCATGCTCACTGCCACTGCAGCCTCAACCTGCTGGGCTCAGATGATCCTTCCACTTCAGCTTTCCAAGTAGCTGGAACTATAGGCCTGTGCCATCACACCTAACTAGTTTTTTTGATTTATTGTAGAAAAGGTTTCACTGAGTTGCCCAGGCTGGTCTCGAACCCATAGGCTCAGGCAATCCTCATGTCACAGCCTCCCAAATGCTGGGATTACAGGTGTGAGCCACCATGCCTGGCTAATATCAATTATACTAATTGTTAGGTTCAAATATATCCCAGTGGGGCCTCCAGGTTGCTAGGTCAGACCCGCCAGGGATGTATGTGATCCGGTACCATGTGAAAGATGCAAAGAATTGACAGAAGTTAGACTGGAAAATATAGTTTATTTAGAAAGCAAATTAGAGGCTGGGCTTGGTGGCTCAGCCTGCAATCCCACGCCTTGGGAGGCCGAAGTGAGTGAATTGCCTGAGCCCGCGGGTTTGAGACCCGCCTGGGCAGCTTGGCGAGACCTCACCTCTACAATAAAAATCAAAAAATTAGCTGGGCGTGGTAGCGTGCGCCTGTAGTTCCAGCTACTTGGAAGGCTGAGGCGGAAGGATCGCTGGAGCCCAGCAGATAGAGGCTGCGGTGGCTGGGAACGGCCACTGCACTCCAGTCTGAGCCACGAAGTGAGACTCCGACTCTCTAA